TGTACTCTGCCTTGAAACTCGTCAAAAACTTGTTGATTTGAAGCGAAAAATTCGCATTTGCTGCAAGCGTCGAGCATATAATCGAACTACATACAAAATCGAATTACAAACGAATATAATCGAACTTCATGCATTTTTGAATTACCAGCCTCAGAACAGTTTTGTTTTTTCTTAATCTATACTACCACACAACTGCGTTAAGGTAACCGCTCTGATCTACCGTCGTACCGTCAAAAAGACAAAGACTGTGGACACTGCGGAGAAGGGCAGACAGCCATACGATGGATCAGCCTCATCAACCATCGGCCGTAGATCAAAATCAACTACCATAAACGCACCTTGGGCATCGAATGCCGAGATCAAAGGACAATACAGCTCAGAGTTTACCATGCAAAGTGTACATCATCGCATAGAGTTTTCAACGCTGGGTTCAATTATGAATACCATTTTCAACTTTGTGGACGACACGCTGGAACGAAGAGAACTGCAGAACTTCGTCGTTGGCTCAGGTTCACATAAGAGTATTACTGTGCTGACTCGCGAGCAATACATATTGGACCCATACGTTGTGTGTTATTAGCTCTACGGGCACTGCAACACCCGTTGAGCACAAGTACTTTGGAGCCATAGTTTCACCTGCATATACTAAACTCCATATTAAATTTTGGGTACTACTGCACTATCATAACCCAGACGCTCGCTACAGTATAACCCTAGAACAAATTGAAAAATATTTCTTGACATATCATTCATATATGTCATTCAATGCTCTGATCACGAATATGACATTTGTAGCTGGCGCTGGTGCCACTTGGCGCCAATTTAACGCTGATGTTGTTCCAAATAGCGTCGGACTGAAGCCAGATGACTACAGCGTCAAAAAGCGCATGTCATACATATTCGTTATCTGGACGCCAAATAACCCTACACATAAGTTTCCAGCGAATTTGATCGAAAACGATGTGGCGTAGAACTTTCGCCAAATGTTGTCAGTGTCAGAAACGAATGTCATATTAGTGTTCAGGGCACTGGTCTAGGATACGCCACATCAGTTCAGGTTCGTGACATTTGAATGCGAATTGGTCCCTATGTAATGAATTGCTTGAGGGGGGCGGGGGTGTATATGCACGATGGTTTTCATCATGGTTCATGGCCATTTGGACTGAAAAGACACGACCCAGTCTGGACGTTAGGGAGCTACGGAGATTTGGCAAACGTTGGAAGATAAAGCGGGGATCCGCAGATCAGTTTGCTCCTGTTTTCGGACGACACAGTGTATTCCTCAATTCAATACGTACATATGTGCATTGAGCCGGTGGATCGGCCGAATCTCCCAAAAGGAACTTGTAGAAAGCCTACAAAGGGAAAGATGACGCGCGTAATGCGGGAGTCGGTATGGGACCATGAAAGCGCCAGAACCGGTCTCCTGCGTTGCGACGATACTACACTGTTAACACATATCACCATAACCAACCATTTGTTACGCTGTTCATATATTTGTCACGGTATCGGGTGCCCAGCAGGAGACGAAATGGTGTTAGGATGCATGACTGAGTCAAACATTTAAATGCATAGGTCCGGAGTCAAAATCTTGAATCGAGATCCATTATCCAGGGTTGTCACCCAGCTTTTCAGTCTTTCCGAGGTTTAGTCAATTAGAATCACATTTGTGGGAGAATTTGAAAACACCACGTACATCAGCCGGTCGACGTAAATCATTATGTAGCGTTATGTGATTCACAATAGCCGCATGAGGTTGACATGGGAGAAAGATGGTTAGCGCATCCCATCGCAGTAGGAGGAAAAAGAAAGCAGGGAAACAAAGTTTCGGTATAATTACAACGATGCCCTAGAAAAATCGTTCACGAAAAATTATTGTTTTTTTTTTCAGCAATAGTACGTCAGCTGCGAACACTAGGGACTACCTGCAATGGTTCACATCAGAAGATTCGGTTTTTGAAGAGAACAAACCTACAAACAGCACTGCGGGGCCGGTTGGGGGTAGGTTGGGCGGAGAGAAGGGAGCGCATTGGAAAGGAATCCGCCTAGGGACGTCCACGTATGTACCAGTAGCGCATCGAAAAAAATCGGGTTAAAGTGTTTGACTTGGAAGAATGGTGACAAAACGATGCGGAAGAGCAGGATGCAGAGAGAAAGAAATCGCCATGGGTGGGAAAAGGCCGAAGAGTTCCTAATGAAGGACACTCCGAGACTCTTCGTGCACCTGTGCTAATACAGTGCCAAGTGCCAAAAGTGCTTTGTAACGTGCGGTTACGTTGCGCCGCCACTCAAGTTTAGCTCAGATTCTGATGTGTTGAAGTGCGGAGAGTAGAAGGTCACATTTCTCCAGATAGCCTGGTTCGGACGACACCTCTCGGACTGATCAATTTCCCCGATGAGCTCATACTTGCGCTCTGTGCTCTGCCTTGAAACTCGTCAAAAAACTTGTTTGATTTGAAACAAAAGATCGCGATTTTGTGCATAGCAGTCGGAGCATATAATTCGAATTACATACAAAATCGAATTACAAAACGAATATATCGAATTACATACATCGGGCTGGTCGAGTCGCATGAACAGGTTGTGATCTTTCGATGCTTCCGCCCTACAACAGTCGTATTCCTGATTTCTGACCATTAACATGACAAATGGGTATTGATTTTGCGCGCGCAAATCGCCACCCATTTGTCAAGAGCGTTGCAAAAAGTGTGCGGTGGTGCGGGAAGAGGATAGAAGGAGAAGGTTTGCTGGAGCTATCCTTTTCAAGATCTCACCCAAATCCACATGATAGAATAAATGGAGCCTCACTCATTCGAAAGCAGAAGGATGGGTCTGAACGTGGGCCGTCTAAGCTGCAGATTCTCTATAATGTTAGGCGGAAGTCAAGAAAGAGAATCGGTGAGCCCAAGCAATTCTTTTGCTCATAGGGAGGTGAAAATCAAAGCAGACGAAGTACGGCCGCTTGCAGAGATGAGCTCTGTGTTCTGCCAGCTATGCACCCACCATAATAGCTATAATATTCTCCTCATAAGTTTTTCAATAAGCATCGATTATGAAGTGATGGTTGCTTTTGTGGTCCATCACAAAACACATTAACCATACAGAAATTCAAAATCGCACGTCGATAACATCCGCCTTGTCCAAACAAATATTTCAGCCCGTCCAGTATCACGTTATACGGTTTTTGGACATGAAAATGGAAGCAGTGCTGTGAAATGGGACGGTCAAGCGCGAATGGTAAAGAATAGGAGGGGAATTCGTCAAAGACGCTGAAGTAAAGGGCCTAATCAGGTCCTTGGACCGGCTGCGGCACGGCAAAGAGAGCCTGGGCATGCTGGAGTGCGGATATAAGTGAGAGCATAAAGAATGAGACACCGGACACCTATGGACGAGAAGAACTGAAGCAGTTGATGCGGTTTTCGTATGAGACGAGCGTTCAGTAGAGCACTTTAGTACCGGGGTAGCGTTCAGCTGCTACCTTCGTGGGCATCTGTAACCCACCAAAAGGATTCATCCTCCAGAACTCATCCTGGGTTATGCCTTTAAGGAGGGAAAGGAGGCTAATACCGCTAGGTAAAGTCTGATAAAGTAAACAGAAGCTTTTTAAAGAATTGAATCATTCTGCAAATCTCTCGTTGGACGCTTGGTATTGATGCTCCGCTGAATATAGAATGTGTTCACATTTATATGCAAAATTATGGCCAACTTAGGGCATATTTTATTGATGGAACACTGTTTTGCAAAGAATCCGATGCTAACAGTGTTTAGCGATACGTGTGTTTATTCTCTGACGCATATCTTAGGCACCATCCGCTCACGTTTTGGGAGAACCGGCGATTTGAGAATATGCATGGAACGAGATACTATATGAATCACGCAAAAAACTCTTGCTTCATATGAGATTAAACAGGTCCCTAAAGAAGGGATTGTGTGCTTCACGGGTTGGCTAGCGGCAAAATGCCTTTTCTTGACGCTGGCGGACCGCGTGCCCGTATCTTATCACGTCGTACCATATGTGGAATTCGTACCGAGCGCCCTCGTCGTGTTTCGCCTCCCTCGCAACGCTGTGTTCTCCTTCTGTACGGTGTCTACATAGAAAAATCGGAAATACCCTAGGTTAGCTTTTGTCCCTATCGACGCTTCCTCTTCCCTCGCATTCTCGTGCATATTTTTTCAACAAAATAACCACGCAGCTCGACAATGTTCTTGCAATAATATAGTTAGTTTGAAATTTGTATTATAAAGCAGTGGTAAATCAAAGTGTTCTTGTTCTATTGCACCACATGATTAAAGGCAGATTCGGGATAAAATAGGTGTGGAAAAGCGTTCAGTTATGAAGCTAGAGGTGGGAGGTGGTCTGGAAAAGAGAAGGAAAACAAACGAAACCACCGATTTACGCCCCGATACAGAGACCTCCCTTGGGATAGTAGAAGGGCAACGGCGTTGGACGCGTTCACGAACGCTTAACAAGTATTGGCTCTCATGCACGATGACATTGAGCGCGATGAGGCTGCCTCAACAGCGCACCCACGCTTTTCGAAGAGCGCCACGTTGCTGCGTCAGTGAGGTGGGGGTTGCGGTTGAAGGCTTTGAGTTGCGGTCAGGACAAGCTCGCTTGTGCGACCTTTGTCGCACGCTGTCATACGGGCAAAAAAGGGGGGGACATCAGCGCTGTCCCACAATTACCACCTCGGAATAAGAATAGAGGGAAAGTGGGAGGATGTACGGACGGTAATTTTGGAAAAAAAGTGGGCGGAGTTTGGGCTGTGTCGACTGGTCTCAGAATCGAATACTATAGAATGAGCCCCATGATGGCGATGGCAGGCGAGGGTGGTGAAGGGTTGACCCTGAGGGGGGGTCGTATCGAGGCCCTCTAGAAGGGGGGGGTCGTAAAATTTTCGAAATCGGTCCAACGTGACGGATTGACCCTGTCCGCAAATATGATAACCCTGTCCCATCATGACAATCATAATCAAATAAGACAACTCACAGACTTCCTTCTCGTACAATTTCACTTTGACGTTTGATGCTGGAACTCCATTACACTGAAGGGTGCCCATAACTGCTACTGACTGCATTCTACCGATGCCAAAAAGGCTGTGGCAAAGCGGCAAAAGAGTAAGGATGAGGATGAAAACCGGATGCATCTGAAAACCGGGGTTCAATCAAACTATTTCAAGGTTGTCTTGCTGCAACCATGTGAAAAAATAATTAATTTTGTCGAACTCCAGAGAGATTTTCATGTAAATGTTTTTTAGGAAGACACTCAGAAAGTTTGATATTCTTCTTAGGCTTAAGAGAAGAGAAAACCACGTGAAAGGCGGGATCATAAACTACTTGGATAAAACCAAAAGGTAGCTTTAACAATACCAGAACTGTGGCAAAGAATTCATGACTACGACCGTCAGCAATCCTTAGAAAAAGACTTTGACTCAAAAATTGGTGTAAGAGATGTGACACCAAGCAGCCCCACTGTGGTGTCACGCCTTTTTCAGAGCACGCTGTTCGAGAGAGCACGCTGATCCCTACATCAGTCGCGGTGGATGGGGAGCGTGACAATGGAAGTCGATGAGTTGATAAGGGTTTAAGAGGCCCAATCACGGAATGTGTGCGATGAGGAGCTGACCACTGGCCGGCTGATTATGTAGGAACGGACGCCACAATTTCCCTCGCGATACCCTTTTCACCAGTCGGTCTAATCCCGGGGCTTGCCTTCGAGTGCTAAGGGTAGTTGGGTAACAAGGTACAGTTCAGTACATTTCGCTTCACATTCAAAAGTTGCTCACCCCTCTGTAGCCGCACTTGTGGTAGATGTTGACCTTCGGGTCAATGGTGGTGATTTCGCGTTTAGATCCTGATAATCGGAACCATCCCTGCCCGTCAGTTCGTCCTTCATCCAGCTTCTTATCGAGAACTGCAATATACTGCTTCATTCCTTCATAACCTTGCAGTAAGTCGATATTCCTTATGGACACTGACACCAACGCAAGCAAAACTAGAGCAAGTTGAAGTTCGTCTGTTACTGTTTCTATCTAGGGCACTGTTTTCTGGCGAGCGTCGTTCAACAATCGCAAATTTTGAACCACCCTCGGCGATGTTCTTCAAAAAAAAATCGATATCATGTGCATTTTATCTTTCTCTCGACGTTATCATATGCGGTGGGGGTCGTATTTGGGGTAGAAAAGGTAGCGTTAATGTTACAGTAAGGGAAGTGATGAGGCGTGGTTTTGCGGCGCGCTAAAATTTTATAAAGCCCTCCGCGTAGGTAGGTATATACCCTCGCCTCAGATGCGTAATTTTTGGCAGGAAAAAAGTGACTTGGATTGGGGCTGATCAATCTATCTCTCTAACACTTCTAGCAGGGCCTGTTTCTTTGAAGGCAGTTGGTTGGGGCCGCTAAAATTTAATTGTGAAAAACACGGAATTTCGGGGGGGGGGGGGGGGGGGGGGGCACTCCATTGCTATCTTATCCGTAGTACTAGAGAGCAGTTCTTTGGGCTATCGAACACTACGGATAAGATAATAAGTGAACGACTCATTTCGAGCGTACTTTTGATAAGGCGTACTTTTGATAAGGACCCTACATTCCACACTACCTGCCCACACTACCTGCCACATCCCATCCACTTTTCTGCACAGGTGATCCACCCTGGAGCTCCTGCACCCTTAGCCCTTTGCGGAGGTGTCCTTTCTCCTGGTCCAGGACCGTTCCCTTGGGTCATGGCAGGCGGAAATGTGAAAACGTTTCAGGGTTTCTCACCCATTACACCAATATTTATCAGAAGTCTACTTTAAATGAGTCGATTACGTGTCGTGAGCCCTCTAATCCTTATCTTGAGTATTGGAGAAAAAATGGAGTGGCCCCCCCGAACTGGAGTTTCACCGATTACAGCCATCTCTT